GCCACCGCCTTCACCGACACCAATAGGTTCAGTGACTTTCGATGATTGGGTGACATATTCTTCGGCGCCTGTAATCGACGGATCAATTGATGGTTTGATTTGTGAAAAACTGAACACAAATTGAACGCAAAAAATAATGAATTGTAAAAAACAAACGCTTGGATGAAGTGATGAATGAATTTGTTCACAAATAACGTGACACGCGTTGATGGCTTGTATTATAGCCCCCTTTGTTTGAACCCCATATGAGTGCCGTAATTTATGTCCATTTATTAATAGAGTGACCACATGTCCAACAAATTATACAAAAACTGTGCATTTATTAGGAAAAACACGTGTTTTTTGGTTAATTATAATTATTAAATTGTTTAGTCATTTGTGAACCCATTTAGAGACCAGTGACCGCTTCCCGAGTAGCCGACGGCAACGATGACCACACAGACAATGAGGTCTATATTCATACACGTGTCCGTACATCGGGTCCGACATATGAAGAGGAATAAATGGCTGGAAGTGGACGAACCGCACGTCACCACAATTGGTCAGTTGCGGCGACGCTTAGCCCGATTGGTGGACGTGGAGGTCGACGAGTTGGCCGTCATATACGAGAATGAGATAATACCCGAAGAGGACGACGATCGCGCCGTCCGCTTCTGGCTTCGCAATAACGCCCGCATTGTTCTCGAGAAGTGCGATCGCCCGCAGCCGCGGCCCGTCTTCTTGGCGGCCACCGGTCCGCAGCGCGTGTCCCGCGAAGTGTAGGCTTTAATTGGTTTTGATTGGCTATAAGAATCAATTGATTTATTAATTGTTTTGCATGACATCCGTCGGTCACTCAACCGCTGGACAGTCGTATCGCGTATAAAGTGGACGCAAATCCGATGCCAAAGACATTACCAAAGGATGATTTGCCGAAAACATCACTACCAGAGAAATGTTTGGCACCGGAGATGACGGCCGCAAATGTAGTGACCGATGATAAACAAGCATTAGATAGCGAACGGCACGAGTACTGGTCGGTTATGTTTGGCCACACTTTTGGCGTTCAATTCATATTTTTAACGCATATTTGTTGAAACAGTTCCGACGCGGACTCCGATGACGTGATGTTCAGATCTGCCAGTTCTTCATTCGATGACCCAAAGGACGTGTCCGCCATATACTTGGAAACCGAATCTACCGGTGATGTTAACGAACCGCCGATGGAAAGGGTGTCCTACGAGTGTCGGACACCGATTACGTCCCGAAAGGAGTATTATATTTGAATTGATATCAATTTCTCAGTTAATTAATTACCTTTAAATTTAGTTTCAATTATAAGCAATACATAAAGAGTATGAATAATGCGTCGGAAAAGCCATTGGATTACTGCCACAAACCTATTGAAAGGGACCAAAACTTTGCCGTCGACGACACCACCACTGGAGCGGAGGTCAGCGATGGACACGACTCGCAACTGACGCCACCCGAAGGAAGCGTACGAAGCGATAGTTTTGATGACACAGACGTTTATCGAGCGGTTGTCAAACAGATATCGGCCACTGAATCAGATGAAACTCTGCCAATGGCTGCCGTGGAAGTGGACGCCGAAGTGGTCACTGTTGACAATATAATGGAATCCATTGACGATATTCATCGGACCCGTATGGCCGATGTTATGACCGAACTATTGGCCAGATTTGTGGCCAAAACATTTGACCAATGCTTCGACAACTGTCACGTGGAATCAATTGATTCGCATTCAGATGATGGCAGTGTATCGTCGCATACATATGCCGATCCATTGGCGACAGGCATTTCCTATCTTCAATTGGACACATCTCTTGACCAATTAATTGGTACACAGATTGAAGACACGCAACCGTCAGTTGATAAGCAGCCAATAGCTGTAATAGAGAGTCCGAAGACTGCACCGGTGGTCAATTCACCGGTTCCGCAGCCAATCAACAGATACAAGTAAACCATATGTCATAAACTCGTAATACTTTTTAACTACTTTAATGTATTTTAAAGTTTCAATTATAAGGAGTATATAAAGAGTTTAAAAGCACGTCCAGTGCCACCGCCGGTGCCGCCAAAACCGGACAATCTAAAGGCAGATCTTGCAAAGCTCAGGAGACTTACCACCAATACATTTGATCCCCGGTCTATGGATACAACAAATGCACACGTAATGGACAAGTAATGGATACAAAAAATGATGTCTATAAATGAATTAGTGATTAATTTGAGTTGGTTTTCATTTGTATGATTAGCATATCTGCGCATACGTTGCCGTCTGCGCCCATTGAGGGCACTTTGGGTGCGGTCGGCGGTGATCCGGAGCCGTACGGCAAATGCGGTGCCGACGCGCCGGTCAATGATTTTGTGTTTAAGGCGTTGGCGGGCATACCGTTAATCTGCGGCAAAGGCAATCATATGGAGTACAACTATCGGCTACAGATGCAACTCATTGCCGATCGCATTAAGACACTGACCACTCGATTGAAGTCGGTTTACGCCCGTCTGCGAGAGGTGGGCGTCAGGCCTCTGTGCCCGTGCGCTGACGACGACCAGCGATGTCTGGACCAGATGTCGGACGCGATTAAGCGTATGTATCCGTATCCGCACGTGACTGACGGTCCGGTGGAATGGGTGGACACTCGCAACGCCCGTCTCTACCGGTATCTGGTGTTGCGCCAGGAGTTGGCCATTAATAACGAGTTAATNTGGAATGGGTGGACACTCGCAACGCCCGTCTCTACCGGTATCTGGTGTTGCGCCAGGAGTTGGCCATTAATAACGAGTTAATGTTTAACAGTTGTTGCACTCGTTTCTAATTTATACTAAAAGTGATTTACAAAGTTATTGTCGATTATAAGTAGATTTTGTTTATTTTTTGTTTCAAAAGTTTATACAGTATTATATAATTGACTAATAATTGTTTGCTTTTTTGATGTAATCATGATTTAAATTAAGACAATTGTGCGCCCAATTTAGCCGCTTTTTTTGGTTGGCGTCGCCTCCTATTTACAAATTGATATAATGTTTTCAATTCATTGCTAATATAATTAAACAAATTAAATGTAGAGTTTATTGTTAACGATATAAATTATGTGATTAATTAATTAAAACAATAAATAAATTAAACTTTGAATGAATGGTATTTATTAAACTTAATTTTGGATGAAAATACTGTACTTTATATACTATAGTTATTGAGAGTTATATTTTGAACATAATTTATATTAT